CGCGTGGCGGCAGAGGAGGCGCTGGCCCGCCTCCGGCTCGCGCTCGTTGCAGCCCATCATGAGGTCGAGGATCGGGCTGCCGTTGGCGCCGACGAGGCGGAACGCCTGCTTCTTGCCCGGAATCGTCACCTTGGACGTCTCCTGCGAGAGCTTGATGCGCGCTTGGCCGCCGATCTCGACGAGCTTGTAGACCATGCCGAGCGCCGGCTGCGCCTGGCACGTCACGAGGTGCGTGCCGATGCCAAACGAGTCGATCTCGTGGCCCTGCTTGCGCCATGAGACATGTGAGAACCGAGTCTTCAAGTGTACCTGGTCGTTGAGCGAGTTGAGGACGGCTTCGTTGATGTCGTTGGACGCGACAATGTTAAAGTTAGCAAAGTCCGGGAGATTGAACTTGGCGGCCGCGGCCTTGAAGTGGCGACGCGCCTCCTTGGAGAGGTACGCAAGGTCGCCCGAATCGAGGCGGATGCCTTGCGCCTACGACACATTTGTTAGTTGATCGGTAGTTAGTCGGCCACGAGACGCACCTTGTAGCCAAGATCGTGGAGGGCGAGGGCGACGGCCAAAAAGTTGGGCACGCCCGACGAAAGCGTCTCGTACGTGTCGACGAGCGCCAAGAAGGCCTGCGGGAACGCGAGCGCATACGAGATGAAGGCCGCAAGCTCGCCCTATATAGGCCCATGAGCTGCTTGGTCGCACAAAGCGCAAGGACGTACGTCGTTGGTGTTGTCGGCATTGAGCTTAGCGCGGTACTGGAGCGTGAGCGCCTTGAAGTCGACGCCGTTGAGCATCGTTTGCTACGATAGGCGTCAGTCAAGTAGCGAGATGGAGGGCGGGCTACCTTGACGTCGTCGAGCGAGCGGTGCGCCTGCACGAACGCGTGCGCGTGCGTGCCCTTGATCGGGATGCCAAAGAGCTTGCCGGCGAGGACGTTGCTCGTGCCGTGGAAGCCCGCCATGTATGAGTAGCGCGACGCCGAGATGCCGCCGTCCGGGCCCTGCGCGCGGCGCAAGCCAAACTCGAGGAGCGTCTTGTCTTTGCCAGCCGCCTTGATGAAGCGCGCGGCGTTCGTCGCGATCAAACTGGCATAGTTGAGGAGGTTGAGGAGGCCCGTTTCGAGGAGCTGCGTGATGCCGAGATGGCCCTCAATACGCAGAACAGGGATACGCGGGAACGCAATAGTGCCTTCCTTCAAGGCGTAGATCTACCCGGCGTCATAAGAGTGCTGCTTCTGCACGCCTGAGGCAATACCTTGACGTTGGAGCAGTCGAGCGAGAGGAGCCAGTCAAAGAAGCCAGCCTCCGTGCCTTGCGGCATGACGTCGCGCAGGTACGCCACATCCGACTCGGTAAACTTAAACGCGTTGAGGAAGAAGAGCACCTATGCACGGTCCATGAGACGAGGTCGCTCAGTATGGCGAATGACGCTACCTCTTCGAGGCCAGCAAAGACCGTGAACTCGCCCTTGAACGGGTTCTTGCGGAAGAAGAGGTCGAACGTCGCGTCTTCCGTGTGACGGCCGACCTTCCAGTAGGCGTACGCCCTACACGCATTTGTACCGCGTTAGCCTTCGTATTTCGGTGCTTTACAGGCGGCGCCACGTACATGGTGATCTGGTAGAGGTCCGTGAGGAGCGGCGTCACGAGTGCGTTCGTGGGCTTGGCGCCAGCGTAGGTGGACTCGGGGATGCTCATGCTGCTGGGCTGGCGAATTGGCAAATGCCCCCCTTCGATCACCTCGTTATGGACGGCCAATCAGCGACAGTAATGAAAAGCACTTGGCGTTTGTATGGCTGCTGGATTTCGGCGGCGACGCACATTTCCACCAATCAAGAGCGAGTGCATACAAACTCGAAGAGAGTCGCCAACGACCATACGGTGGGACAACCCAAGACGCCGCTCAAATAGTGTGTGCCTTGATGACACATCATCCCCGGAGCTCCTTCGTCGTGGCACGACGGCGGCTGCGCGAGGATCGGCACCATGAGTGCGACTAAGCTGCACCAATGACACTACGATCTGTGATTCGATCGACAGTGAAAAGAAGTTGCTTGTCCACGTGATCCTCGACTACCGGCAAGCAGGCGACAGATGGAAACATCACTCTCTCGCTAGGCTGTAGTAGACACGGGTCCTTGCGACCGCCACCCATGTTCCCATTCAAATTCAAATGCCATCGAAGAACCTGGTTGTACGACTGTGTCGGTAGAAGGGAGGAGTGCGATGGATGTCCCGACGTCCTCGTGTACCGGTACTAGGACAAGCATCCGTGCACTGTCGACTAATTTCTAAAATCAGACGCGTCGATTTTAGGTGCAATGACAGGCGACCGCAAGCTGCCAGAGGACTCAGCTGCATAGAACTGGTCCTGACGATGGACGCGCAGGTGTCTCGTCTTGGCCGACGCGACGCACGCACGGTGCGCGGGGCGCCATTTTTCACCCAAGTCGCACACTATTTGCTGGGTGGAAATGTGACAAATGGCCTTTTTCACACCGTTCAAGCAGCACGTGGTTCAAACAACCTCGGCGCGATCATTCTGCTCAGCGGGTCGTCCATGCAGCCAGAGCTACGAGCGCCACGATAGACTGCTAGTACAAGTAGCTAATCGTGCGATTATAGCTTTCACAGAGAAATATATATCTTGATCAACACGGACATGGCTACACTACTCGCCGAGGAAGAGCGCGACGCCACTTATGATCCACTTGGCCGGGTCGCCCGAAATGGGCAGCGAGATTTCGACAAGCATGCGTTCGCGCGAGATCTCATAATAGAGCGGCACTTTGATGCACGCGTCCTTGGCGTACGGCTCGCGGTCGTCGTCGCGCGTGTAGGCAACGTAGCACGTGGGCACTGCGACGAGCTCCTGGGCATCCGACGACGGCTCTTGGAGCGACCCGCCTTCAAAGGAAGCGCCTTGGAGCAGCAAGCCGCCGAGCGCAAACCATTCAATGGACCCTACCCCGCAAACATGAGGCTTCTTGGAAAGAGCAAATGCTAAACCGGTCGCTTTCTCTTGTTCCCAGCACGAGACGAGCTTCATGCCGTCCATCGAGCACTGCAGCGTCCGCGCCGCCTGTTGCCGCAGGGCGTTCAAGAACGTGCCGGGTTGCAGCACTTCCGAGAGGTCCAGTGGGCGCGACAGCAAGGAGCCTTTGGCGCAATCTTCCTTCCACTCGGCCAGCGCGCGCTTTCGGAGCGCGAGCGCGCGGAGCCAGACTTGCACGACGTCGCTGCTGCCTTCCCATCGGTTGCTCCAGTCGCTTGGCACAATACCAAGAAGCAACGACGCCGCAATCGTTTGAATCGTCGGCGTCAGCAAGCCCGTACCGTATATGACTTTCTTGATGCTCATGAGGCCGCTGTTGACGTACATGGCGAGCTCGGTCGCGGCCGCGTTCTCCATGGCCACAAAGGCTTCGACCGGCGACGCATTGGGCTTGGCGTCGACCTTCGCACTGCTCGCTTGGTCCAGATGCAAGCTCGATGTGAGTTTGGCCCAGTTCTCAATCAGCGGCCCGAGGACGACGCGCCACACATCCCGATCAAACTTGCTCGAGGCTTGGGCGCTGTTGTTGAGCGTGCGCAGCTGCGCAATCACGGCCGATGACGCCGACCGCTGCACCGATCGCTCAATGTTATCTGGCAGCCCAAAGAGCTTGGGCGGGTCCGTCTCGGGCAAGTGCTCGATGAGCGCCACGTAGTCGTCCCGCCGGTCGGACGCCGGGATCTTGACGCCTTTGCAGAGAGGACTTTTCCCAGCGACCACGTCAGGTGCAAAGTACATTTGAAGGTACACGCGCAGAACACGAAGATCGTACGGGTTGTCGATGCGGCCGCCGTAGATAGCATTCTCCATGAGACCGTGGACCGCCGCCCAGTCCACCGCCGTTGCCGAAGCAGCGACGTCCAGCACGTTGAAGCCGGCGCGGAGGTCGCCAAAGCTAAACTCGTAGAACTTCGTCCACCCTTGGGGCAGGTACGTGCGTCGCTCTTGCAGCAGCGAGTGAAAGAACGCTAGGAGAAAGAGTAGCTGCATGCGCGGGACCGAGCTGCCAGTCTCGAGTGCAAACGTTGCGTACGTTCGCAGAAGGTTCTTCTTGAGGCCCGGCGGCGACTCGTAAGTGACCTTCAAGCTCTGCTCGAGTAAAATGAGCGGAAACCCATCGTGGGCCTCGGTCGTACACCAGAGCCGAAACTTGCGGTGCGGGTTGAGTGCGTTTAGCTCCTTCTCCAAAACGACGAGCCATGCGACGACAAGGTGGAGGTTCTGGAGGCAGAGCCACTCGCCGTTCTCGGCTGTTGTGCGGAGCAGGCTCAGTGCCTTCTCTTGCTGCCCGCCACCCATGGCGACCTCGAAGTAGTGCTCACGACCGACCATCTCGGTCGCGACCTCCTCGAGCTCTTTGGACGGATCGGCGCCGGCGGTTGTGAGCAGCAAGACGGGCGTCGTGCTTGACGCCTCGTTAGTCGCAAGGTCCTTAAAGTCGAGTGGCGGCGGCGTCAGCGTCTTGACTTTGAGGATCGTGCAAATGAAGTTTTGGATCGCACTCTGCAGTCGATCGGGCCGAAGCGCCTGCACCAAGAGCACCTTCTGGAACGGACTCAGGCTCTTGTCGACTTTGGCGTGAAAGCCAACTTCGCAGTCGGTGGCCTTGGACCAGCGCAGCCAAATGTCGTTGGCGTCCAACTTGAGGTTCGCGGCGAGGCGCGGAAACGTCTCCACAAAGAGCGTGTAGGCATCGCGGCGGTCGGTCGCGGCCCACTCGGGCAGCGGCGCTTCCTTCTTTGCGTCGGCCATGAGGTCGCCGACAAAGTACTCCCACTCGTTGGGTTCAAACGCGTCCGGGTGCGTTCCGTGAATCAAATGCAAACCAAACATGGGCCGGTGCTCCTTAAAGAGGGACCGCCCCACAAACATGAGCACTTTGGTCTCGAGGACAGGCGAGAGCCGCGCAATGCGCTCCTTGATCGAGCTCACATCCATTTTCGAAGCCAGCGTCGCCTTGAAGAGCCCGATGAAGCTCAGGAGCGAGAAGCGGTACATGTGGCTCACGCTGTGCAGCGCCTTGACGAGGAAGAAGAGCCGCGCGCCGTCTTTTGCAAACGGCGCGTAGATCGCGCGCTGGTCGTCGAGCTCCTCGCTTTTCGTCGCCGACTTGCGCAGCGCATCTTCAATGTCCGCCGACGTTGCTTTTGTGCGCGTGAGGCTCTCGATCAACGTCGTGTTGTCGAGGATGTCGCCTTCGGACGTCGCCAGCGCTTGGAGCAGCTGCTTCTCGAGCGATGCGAGCTGCACCTTGAACTCCTCTTCGTTCTTGAGGAGCTCGCTCTTCTGCGACTCGAGCTCCGGCTGCTCGTTCTGGATCGTCACCCCGAGCAATTGGCCTTCGAGCCCCGACTTTGTGACGGTGAAGTTGACAACGTTGACGATCGCCCGCGCGTCCGGCGGTAAGTCCGGGTCCGGGTTGCGTGTCACGAGCACGAGTCGAAAGTTGTCGTTGTAGTCGACGTCCTTGTCGCCAAGTCGGACAACGTACCGAGGTCCTTCGTGGTTCAGGTCTTTTCGAATGAGCGGGTACAGGTACGGCTCGACCAGGTCGACCTCGAGGATCGCGAGTGTCTTGCCAAACCGAACGGCTTGCTCGACGAGCGACACGAACCGCGGCTCTTGGGACTGCACGACCGAGAGGGGCCGCGTGGCGTCTTTGGCCAAGTGCGCTTGGAGCCAGCCCGTGGCAGCGTTAGCCGGGTCAATGATGAACGGACACCGCTCTTTCGTGTAGTGGACGATGAGCCCGTTCTCCATCGAGAGATTGTCCGCCGGCAAGCTCATGCTCTTCCATGTGAGCATCTCCGACTCGGAACTCAGCAGCTTGCGGTAGTCAAAGGCCGTCGTCGAGTCCATGGCTGCGTCCCAGCCTCTCGAAATCGTCGCGCGCTTGTCTTCAGAGCACTGGCCGAGAAACGTTGTGAAGCCAGACGCCATGAGGAGCTTGAGCGGCAGCTCGACAACGCGCTGCTCGAGGTCCTTGACTTGGGCCGACCACCGAGTTTGCTCGCCACCGAGTTTGCCGAGGAGCCCCTGGGCTTTCTGCAGCGTCGCTTCAGCCCGCTCCAAGCCGACGCGGAGGATTTCCGCCTCCTTGGTCTTTTCACCAAAGAGCGACTTCATCTCGTCCACTTTGACGTCAATGGCCTTGAGCTCGCCTTCGCACGACTGGAGGCGCTGCTGCGACGCTTCTAACGACCGCTTGGCTTCCGCGAGGTCGGCTTCGAGCGGCTCGATCTTGGCGAGGACGACGCTGTACTTCATATTGGCCTTGACCCAGCCCGCGAGCGGCGCCGCGGCCACGCTCACGCGGTAGATGTTTTCGTGTTCGAAGGACGCCGCTTTCGCCTTGAGCAATTTTGTGACCGCCTTGGCAATCTCGGGCGTAATGCGGCGCGAGTCGTAGTTGGAGATATCGTCCTTGACGCCGCGGTTCCCAAGAAATTTCTTCATGCTGTTCCACGACGTGTCTTGGATGCCGAGGAGCATGAGCACGGCCGACAAGACGTCGTGGATGGGCTCGGGCGGCATCTTGAGCGACCGAATCTCGTTGATGTTGTCCGACTTGATGGCGCCGACAGCCTCCTTGGCCGACTGCAGCACGGGCGTGATCTCACTCAGCTCGTCTTCGATCTCGCGC